AAAAAGAAATGCAAGAAAGCAAAATGGCTGTCTGAGGAAGCTTTACAAATAGCTGAGGAAAGAAGGGAAGTGGAAGGCAAGGGAGAAAGAGAAAGATACACCCAATGGAATGCAGAATTCCAGAGAATAGCTAGAAGAGATAAGAATGCCTTCTTAAATGAACAGTGCAAAGAAATAGAAGAAAACAATAGAATAGGGAGGACCAGAGATCTCTTCAAGAAAATTGGAGATATGAAGGGAACATTTCAAGCAAAGATGGGCATGATAAAGGACCAAAATGGCAGGGACCTAACAGAGGCAGAAGTGATTAAGAAGAGGCGGCAAGATTACACAGAAAAACTATACAAGAAAGATCTTAACATCCCTGATAACCACGATGGGGTGGGCGCTGACCTTGAGCAGACATCCTGAAATGTGAAATCAAAAGGGTCTTAGGAAGTCTGAGCAACAACGAAGCTAGTGGAAGAGACAGTATTCCAGCTGAGCTATTCAAAATCCTAAAAGACGATGCAGTAATAGTGCTACACTCAATATGCCAGCAAATTTGGAAATCTCAGCAGTGGCTACAGGATTGGAAAAGGTCAGTTTACATTCCAATTCCAAAGAAGGGCAATGCCAAAGAATGTTCAAACTACCGCACCATTGCACTCATTTCACATGCTAGCAAAGTTATGCTCAAAATCCTACAAGCTTGGCTCCAGCTACGAGAAGTACAGGCAGGGTTTCATAGAGGCAGAGGAACTAGAGATCAAATGGCCAACATATGCTGGATCATGGAGAAAGCTAGGGAATTCCAGAAAAACATCTACTTCTGCTTCATTGACTATGCCACAGTTTGACGCGACTTCACAACTAAGAACAACACTTATGATCTGCTCAGAGGGCTTTGGCTATTGGTAGTGCAAAATTAAAATTAACAATAATATGAATAATAACTTTCTCCTAGTCCTTTTAGAAGAACTTCAAGAATTGCTTGTTTTAATTATGATGCTGTGTCTTACAATCACCCCCTGCTGCATGTTTTGGCTGCCTGGATATTTATCTCTTCTGATAACATTTTAAAGATTTGAAAGTTAAAAGAAAAACTTGCAATGTGTTTTAACATTTATTTCATGGTATTTTTATGTGTCTTGCCCTGAGAGCTTGGACTTTAACCCACTGAGTTCTGCAGAGAGGCACAAAAGGAAGAGAAAGCCATGCTTGGAGGCTAACACACCTTCAGCACTCTGTTGATATCTCAAGTGCAGGAAGGCTTGGTGAATGTGGGGATCATTCGTTACAAGTGGCCAGGTGGCTCCTCGAAGGCTTGCACTGTCCCATTGGGTGGCCTGTGGTTCCTGTCGGACCGATGAACTCTTTCTGCATTAGAGTTTCTCATCTGCTTGTCTCTAGATGGGGCTTGCAGTGTCCCAGTGACCCCTGAGCATTTTTAGCCCACACTTTTGAAACCCACATCTGGGTCGCCTCCTGTGACTAGAGAATCACTGGCATCCCCTTTCATGACTCAGTTCTTGGTCGAGGTGGCTGCGGCAGTTTCTACAAGGACGACAAAACTCTTGAAAAGAAAGTCAGAAGAAACCCTTTACACAAAGGCAGTGTAAGCGCCAAGTAATCAGTAGGTTAGTATGACTAAAAGATCCAACTCCTGAAATATACTCATTTATAGGTGTAATTACAGACAAGTGCACATGAATAGAAAACCACCAACTTAGAATGTTATGAGGACAAGGCTAACAAAGAAAAAGCTGTTAGAAGGGCTGCCCCAGAAATGGTGTGGCTGAAATGAACCAAGTAAATAGTTGCGGGCTCACTTCTGAGTTAAAGAATCCCAGAGAGCATATAATCACAGATCATAGAGAGATGTAGGAATGGAGAAGAGAAGTACCTGAAGGTATCTAAAATTCAGTTATACAGTACGGACCAAGCTAGGTACTACACACCATGGAAGAGTTACTTTTTGCAAGGCTTAAAAACAAATCCAAATAGCTTAGGAAGATGTGAAGATGTTCTGGAAAAAGACAGGAAAAGGAAAAAGGAGAAGGGAGGCAACTAGACTGATGTACCTAAAAGTCAACAAAACACGAATAAGTTCATAATTAGTCTTTCTGAAAATCAGGATTATATAGCTTTTGAATGAGACTAACATTTGCCTCATAAAAGTCAAGGCTATTCATGTTTTAATCAAGCAAACAAGATGACCACCAATAGGTTCAATTTATACATTTTTATAGACTGAAAATGTTAAAAATTAAATTTAAAAATATTTAAATTTAAAATAAAATTTTATTATCCAGAGAGAGAGAGTTTTAAATTTTCATTTTGGTATGAAGCACCATGTTCATTGACAAATAGGATTATGTTATAGTCCTACTTAAAAACTGAACCAGAACCTGGTAGGCTTGGTTCATTTTTTAAATGAAACAATAAGATACTGAAACTGGCATTTTATTCTGCCATGTTTCACATTTTAATATTTTGTTTATATATTAATGTTATAATTTTAAAGAAGTGTTAATTTTAAATTAGAAAATAGTTTAGATTTTTTATTTTAAAAAATTAAATCTATACAAAATGTATAAATGCATAAACTTGATACACTGTGGTCATTTTGCTTTCTTGATTGGAGTACCACATTCTCTGCATCACATCACTTGCATATTGGTTGATCTGGTGTTTTATGAATCAGATAATGCACAGAGCTAAATGAAGGTGCTGGGTCATCTGAGAACACAGGCTAGTACCTCCAGTCATTTTCAAAGATTTCAAAAAGATACAACTTTTTTTTTTTTTAACAAAGGACATATGGCCAGAATTGTAGTGGTTTAATCTTAATAATTGTTCTTTCTAATGTTCAGGATTGCATGCTGATGTTTCTTACCTATATACAAGAGGAGGGTTTCTGTGCAACTGAGAGACCCTGGAAGCTTTCAGAAGTAAAGAAATGTTTTTACAGACTAAAAGCTAAGGGGAAGCCCCTTGCCCCCAAGACCATCCCCAAAGAGGAACACAAGCTCAGTGGCCCTGGCATTCCAAGAGCCGTGTTTGTTTGCTAGGATATTTCTAGCCCATCTGAAACATCTCTAGATGGCTTACAGAGTGATAAATATCCAATAAATACATTAGCAAGATAAAATGCAACTGGGAATAAATAAATCTGAATTAAAATTTTAAACTTTAAAATACTGGGTGAATAAAAAGGTTTTAACCTGGCACTGAGAAGCATATAATGTCAGTGTCAGGCAAACCTCTCTGTGGAGCGCATTCCATAGCCAGGATGCCACCATTTGCTGCAGAGCAAACTGCTTAGCTGGACTGAATTGGGGCGATGCATTAAGCAGAGGGAGACAGAGCTGGTGCTTTTGGGCAGCTAGTCATGGCCCAGCACTGACCAGATCTCGGCTGATGGGGAAACATGGGGTGCCAGTGTGTGTGTGTGTGTGTGTGTGTGTGTGTGTTTGTTTATTTAGAATATTGTTATCCCATCCTACACAATCCAATGGTTCCAGGATAGCTTACAATAAATAGGCAATACATACACTACAATAACAAAATAAAATAACAAAATGTGACTGAGAATATAACAAAACCAGATTAAAATTATTTAAACCTTAAAATGTTGGGAAAATAAAAAGAATTTTACCTGGCGCTGAAAAGAATATAAAGTCAGCCCCAGGCGAATCTCTCTGGGGAGCACATTCCACAGTTGGGGTGCCACCACAGAGAAGGCCCTCCTCCAGGTGTTCACTCTCCTAACCTCCTTCAAGGAGGGTTCCTGAAGCAGGGCCTCTGCTGCAGCTCTTAGGGGATGAGAGGCATATAGGGGGGAAAACGTTCCTTCAGGTATCTTGGTTCCAAGCTGTTTAGGGCTTTATAGGTCAATACCAACACCTTTTCCACCAGTCCGTCAGCTGTAGCTGCAAAGAGAAGGTTCCTGCTTTTTCTAACTCAAGTCATGTTTCAGGTGGAATGTAGAGCACTTACAAATAGCTTTGTTACTGCAAATGTACAAGTGAATAGAGCAAGGGGCTAGAGCTGGGAGGAGGTTTTGGATAGCCCTGCAGGATACTTGAACGTGGAATGCTGCTGGTCAGGAGACAGGCTCTGAGTAGTTCACAGCAGCCCTGCAGGGTTGATTAGAGGCATTATGCCCCTGTTGCTGTGCAGGAGTTGGGCTAAAGCTGAGGGTGTAAGTGAAAATGCTGCTCATGGGTGAAGACTGCCCAACACAACCTCTTCAGGCTGTCCAGTGTGATGGACTCCACAAGGAAGTTGGGCTGAGCTGGAGTGCCTCCTTCTGTCACACTGATCGTAACCCTTTTTCTTTCTGAACGCCAACATTGGGTTAAATGGAGAAACAGATCAGGGCAGAACTCAACAGAAGGACATTGAGGAGAGGAGCAAGATGAGCAGAACGGAGGAGATCATGATAGTCGAGAGCTGAATAATTTCGAAAAGCGAATTAAGGATAGTGGGTTGAATCCTGTGGCAGGAGTCCAAATCTTTACTTGCCAATGGCTTCTATCAGGATTTTAGAACTGTGCTAGAAAGTCACGCTCATTCCTCCCACTTTTCTTCCCAGCCACGTTGGACGTCTGGGTTGCGTGATGCCCCTCGCTAAGGAGCCCTCCTGCCCGTAAGACTTTCTCAGCCTCTGTTTGCTATCAACGGTGCAGAGTCACGGTAACTGCAGAGTTATGGAAAGCATGAATAAAGATTTGCATAATAGATGCTATCATCATCACAATTTATATCTATCTTCAGATCGTGCTTGGTTTGAGATTTTCCAATGCAGGTTTGAAGACAAGGTTTCTGTCTTCTTGGTGTTCTTATCAAGAAATGAGCTGGTAAAAAACCACACATCTCTCTTGGATGCCGCCTTTCATGCTGACGTACCTATATTTCTGCATGTGCTATCTGAAAAAAGAAGAGTTACCCTGAACACCAACACAATGACTTCTCAGCAGCAAAATGACTTCACTTGCTATGGAAATTGAGAACAGAGAGCAGCCGTAGTGTCACCCTGCCCCTCATTGAACAAAAGATTAGGTTTAGTCCGTCATTCGAGAAGTATGAATTTAGACATTGTGACCTTCTGCTTTCTGTTCTTCCACTTTGAACCCCAATATGGTAAGTGATATTCCCAACTTCTGGCAGGAATTTGTTTTCACTTATTGTTTTATGCGTTCCAAGGATGTGTGACAAAGAACAATGGCTGTACAGGATTGATACAGAAAGGGCATCTACCCTTCCAGTGGGAGATCTATGGGAGAATAATTTGTTTTAAGCTGATCTTGTGTGTGGAACAACATAATTAGATTTGATCTTTGGTATGGTACAAATCTGATTTTTTGTGAACATCTGCTGTGTTTCCTGCTCTTTAGAAAGCAAACGCTGCATGCATTGCTTCCTGTTAACACAGAAAAACATGATGTGTGCCAGGGTATAGTATCAGTAACTTAAACTCTGATAATGCTATAAAAACATTATTTTAATACTATTTAAAAACCAGCCCATCATAGCTCAAGCTTTTATTGCAAACCTAGAGATTCTAGAAATTGACTCTAGATGGGTTTAAAAAACAACAACAACCTGACTGACTGATTTTACTAAAGTGTTAGTGCTATTTGCTGTCAAGTTGTCTCTGACTTATGGTGTGTCTATGAATGAGTCCCCTCCAAAATGTCCTGTCCTTGACAGTCTTTCTCAACTCTTGTAAACTCAAGGCTGTGGCTTCCCTTATGGAGTCCATTCATCTCATGGCTGGTCTTCCTCTTCTTCTTTGCCTTTGACTTTCCCCAGCATTATGGTCTCTTCCAGTGAGACTTGCCTTCCCATGATGTGCCCAAAGTACCACAGCCTCAGTTTCTTCATTTTTGCTTCCAGGGCAAATTCTGGCTTGATTTGACCTAGGAACCACTTGTTAATCTTTCAGTCTATCTGGGGTGTTTGCAACGCTCTCCTCCAGGACCATGTTTCAAACATATCCATTTTCGTCCTGTCAGCTTTCTTGACGTCCAACTATCACATCCATACATTACTGTTGTTGAAAATAGAACAGCAAAACTGTCAGTCAAATGCAATTTTGGGGGTTGCTTACCTGTGGTGTAGTTCCCCAGTCCTGCCCTTATGGCCCTTTCAATCATTCTTTTGTTCAGCAAGTGAAATGATTTTGATCATAATTTGTCCTTTGCAATGTTGTTTTCCAGTAGGTATTCTTGCATATCTGATATGTGTATGTGTGTGCACACTTAAAATAAATATTAAGACATAGTGACACCTTCACACTTGAGGAGTTTTAACTGAACAACATAGCCATGCAGGTGGAGGTGGCACCTAATTCTCGGCTACGGATGGAACCTAGGCAGAACAACATGAAATTTCAATTACTTGGATTGCCTTCTCCTTAAAAGGATCTGGCCCACTCTCTTAGGGTGCTCTGGGGCTGGCACGTGGGCACTCAGTGCCTTCCACTGGATAAGGCTGGCGCATGACCTCATACTGAGGAATAGAATTTGACCACAGTCATCCATGCCTTTGTAACATCCAGATTAGATTATTGTAATGGTTTGTGTTTGGAACTGCTTTTGATTACTTTTTGGAAACTTCAGTTAATTCATACACTCTTCTTGCAGGTTAACTAACTTGTTACATACCATCAAGTCATCTCTGACTTATGGCAACCTTAAGATTGAAAGCCCACCAAAATGCCCTCTCCATGACATCCCTGCTTAGTTGTTCTAGATTGCTTTATGGAGTCCATCCATTTCTTATTTGGTCTTCCTTTTCTTTTGCATTTGACTTTCCCTAATATGATTGACTTCTCCAGTGAGTCTTGCCTTCTTATAAGGTAATAAAAGTACGACAGTCTTAGTTTTGTCATTTTTGCTTCCAGGGAAAGTTCTGGTATGATTTAATCTAAAACCCACTTCCTTGTCTTTCTGGGTCCAGGGTATTTGCAAAGCTCTTCTCCAGCAAGGTTACCACTGAGACTGGCAAAATGGAACATCTCCTGCCATTTCTTACAATGGGCCATGACTCCTGATCCCTTTGGGGCTACAGGTCAAAGCACTGTACTTACCTTTAAAGCTCTTACCTTTAGTTTGAGGCATGAGAGCATCTGAAGAACCTCCTTCTATTGCTTGCACCTGTCTGAACCTAAAGGGTCTCTTTGAATTTCACTTTCTTCTGAGGTAGGCTAGCTAGTTTTGCATTGTCAGAAAAACAGACACAAAGGGGTACAGGGTTGCACAATTGTATATACTACTTTATATGTACAGTGGTACCTTGGCTCACAAACTTAATTCGTTCCACGATTCTGGTCACAACCCAAATTGGTCATGAGCCAAGTCAAATTTTCCCATAAGGTTCAATGTAAATAAGGTTAATCCGTTTTGTAACTATTTTTTTAATCACAAAAATTTGAAGCAAAGTGACAGCAACAAAGATAGCAGCCATCTCCCATCCCACCAACACAACTGTGATCACGCCATGTTCCCTGCACGAGTGCGACCGCAATCATGGCCATGGACAGGCACAATCGTGGCCGCGCTCAGGCAGGGAGGACAGGCACGGTCACAGCCATCTCCCCCTACAGCACGATCTCAGCCATCGACCTCCCCCAAGCATAATCACAACCATCCCCCCCCCCCCAAGCACAACATAACCGTGATCGCATCTGTGCAGGGAAGACGGGTGCGATCGGGATCGGCACCTGATGTGGAGTTCACGACCTGAGGCAAACTTTTTCCAAAATTTCTGTTCGCAACCCGAGGCGTTCGTGAGCTGAGGTACCACTGCATAAAGACACATGTAGAATAATTGCTATAATTTAAATAGAATACTTCTAACCAAAGTGGGCAAGACTGTGGGCTTACTGGATGCTCACCACTGATGGACAACTTCTTTCCTGATGTTTTCTTGTCATTCTTCATTTTTAAACTTGACGTGGGTCTGGACAGTCCTTCAAATGGAGAACACCTTCCAATGCAAACCGCCCTCCATGAAATAGGAAACCTGGCTACTCTAAAACTAAGCAGCTTGGTGTTGACCAGAGAGACATTCTTCTCCATCAAGGAAACTGTGTATGAAATGCCCTTATGGTAGCAATTTGGTATCCTTTCAGGCCAGGGGTTCCAGCATATTCTTTGGGCTATTTGTTTTTAAAATCTGCTTTATTGCTTACTGTATTGTGCCCTTCTGCCTCTGTTTTATTTTTCTTGTGATTGAATTTTAAATATTTTTATTACTACCAGGAGCTGTGCTGGGAGTTGACTTAAGTTGTTGAGTGCAATATACATTTATTAACCAAATAAATAAATAAATATCAAATTACCCACCTAATACAGCAACTTTGCTGATTGCATTAAGTTTCAAGGAAGACATTTTATTAATCTTTAAAAACACTGTGAGATGATGAGAAGCAAACAAAAAGAAGTAGATTGTTTACATTCACATACAGTGCAACCCTTTGTATGTTTACTCAGAAGTAAGTCCCCCAGACTGCAATAAGATTTACCCCTAGATATATGTGTATCAGATTGCTGCCTTACTGGTATTAAAACAAACTATAGCCCTCTTTCTGTTTGCTTATAGATCTTTGGATTCAGAAGTGTTTTCACCTTTCATCTGAAGGTACTTGGAGATGTCAAACCCATCAGTGCAAATGCAGTGGTGGACAATGTGCTTTAAGTTGTGGTCTGCATGGAGCAGACCTGAAGTTCTGTTCCACCCTAAGCTGCAGAGTAGCTGAGCGGGAAAGAATGGGGTGCTGCCAGGCCAGGCTTTTCTTGTGCCACTGCCCTGCCTCATTCATAGAATGTTACAGGAAGTCTAGGCACCATCTCCCACTCAAAACCCTCCTGTGTTTTCCCACTACTTCTTCCATCTCCTTCCTTAACATAGAAAATCCCTTAGGGAGGGAAAGATGGAATCGCTGCACAACATCTTCACAGTGGCAGTGCTCAGAAAGCATTCCAGACTGCAAGCAGCCTGGGAGAGGAAGTTCTCGCTTGCTGTCATTTTGCCCTGTGGGCCCAACATTTTGCACTGCATAGGACTGCATGGAATGTGACTGCAAACAATTTCTTTCTTTCTTTTTTCTTCTTGCCTTACAATGTTTTTAAAGACTGATATGCAAAGGTATTTGTTTTTTTTTTTTAAATCTATAATACTTAATGCAATCAACAAAACTGCTGACTTGAAATACCTACAAAGGGGGTTAGTTTGCCCTGCCATTACTCAAAGTGAGGTGGTGGCCTCAGATGGCAAATCCTACAAGGTTGCAGGAAAGTTGGGAGAAAGCAGCCAGTGCCACATGCCCCTAGATGCCTCCTGTTTCTCTGCTGCCCTGAGATGGTGGCCAATGCATTGTGCTAGAAGAAGACATTCAGCCATGAAGAAAGGCTTTTCTACATGGAGCGGCAGGAGGCACCATCTTGTGCTTCACCCCAGGCAATAAAATGGCTTGGGCTGGACCTGGGCCAGGTCCTGGGTGCCTCTTGGTAAGAGAGCTGAAGAAGGAGCCCAGAGCAAGAAATCTGGCTCCTTGCCAGTCATGTGTTCCCGTGTGCTCCCATGCACTGAAAGGTTGGATGGATTTCGGATTGTTCTTGTTTTGGGACTTGGTTTGTTGAAAAGCTTTGCTTCTTTTCTCTGTGACTGTATAATTGAGTAACCTGAAGCAAAGCATTGAGGCATTATGTTATTTGTACATTCATATGTGAGCTTTCTAATTTTGTAATTACGTTGTCATAGAAGTGGGAGGAACTTTGGAGATGATCTCATCCAGGAATTTCCAAACTTTTCGAACCTGTGGGCACATCTGAGAATTTGAGAAACTGCTGTGAGCACTGACACAAAATGCCTAATTGGTGGATTGACACTGTTGTGCCTACCTGTCTCATCTGAACATCTTAGGCTGCATCTTAAACAGGAGAAATATTTGCTTGCAGTCTATTGGACACCGCAATATGTTATTCATAAGCGCTTGTCTAATTCAGCTACTTGCTGACAGTGCAATGCAGCTAATGCTTTTTGAAAATATATGCATTAGCAATGTCCAATAGTTGCTTCTTTTTGGGAGGAGGTTATTACAATAGATACATTTTGGGCTGGAACAGTCTTTCATATTCACTGATGTAAACATTAGACAATCTTTAATATTCACTGTTTCCATGCCATGCAGATTTATGCCCAAACTTAACCAGGCATGACCACATGGTTACCTAGACAGCACAGTTTCTGCGCTCCCTTCTCCATCCTCCCCTCCTCACCATGGCATCCTGACAGTCCCATCCCTTTTCTCTTCTTGCCTATGGACTGCAGACTGGTCTGTTGCAGTCCTCAGGCGTGTTCCCCCCTTCCCCCACAAAGTGGACCTCCAGCCCACACAGAGCTTTTTATTACAGGAAATCAACAGTTTTTCCTGTGATTCTCCCCATCTCAATCCATGTGTTTTCATGCTGTTTACCTGTTTTGAAATGTAAACAGGGAGCTGGACACATTGCTTGGCCAATGCGAATAAAGAGAACAATGTTGTGTCTGTTGCTAGGGAGCAGCAGACTGTAGAGAGTGAAAGCTAGAAACACCAGCCACTAGTCTTGCCAAGGGTCGCTAGTGTTTCCATAACAACACTGGTAAAAAGGGAATCCCAGGTCTGGATTAGTGTAGACCATTGATTCTCTCTCTGGTTTCAGAAAACTAACCCTATCATGCAGGAACTCCAGGACTGGGTCTGGATGACACAACACACCCACAATTGTAAGATTTCACTATTGCTTCCCATGTTATGCAAATTCGCTCTTGTTTAGTATTCACATCCATGAATATAGAAAGAGTGTTCTTTTAAGTTATTAACCTGCTTCATGGAAACCAGCAAATGGAAAGAGAAATGGATTCTGTCCACTCTTTTGACAGCTAACAGGTGAATATTACAAAATTGGAAGGGAAAACGCTAACCTCCTGTAGTGCAACTAAGGCTTTTACAACACTTTTGATACACAGATAAGTGGCACATGTAGGGATATTTGGTTTGCTTTGGTAGAAGCCCATGTGAAATTCTTAGAAAGTTGCATGCATTTCATATGCATCTATATAGATTTTTTTAAAATCATAAAAAACCCCTGAAGAATGGGTGTCCATGTGGAGGACCTCTGATCCAGTCAATCCAGGGTGCAGCGACAGCAAGGGACATGTAAGGAATCCATCTGGGGTGGGAATCCATCAGATTCCCTGTGCTGGGCTCCTTGGATTCCAGTCTGCTTTGCAGGAGTCCCGAATCCAAGTTTCTTGTGAGTATGCCCCCCTTCCACACCACAGAAGGCTGGTTGGGAGAGGCTCGCCAGGAAAGGAGCCCCTGCCTCCCATGAACACAGTGCAAGCAGCACCCCTCTTCCTCGCCAGCTGCAGCTGCCAGTTGTCGGTTGCACAACTGGGGCTCTGTGTGCCTCCACAGGCTTCCTCTTGGCTCTGCTCACTTTGGAAGGCCTGGCCAAGCACAAGAGGAGGGTGATGAATGTTTGGAGGGACAGATTCCAACAGGGTTTGTCCCATCCCAAGCCATGGCATCCCTGACTGATGGCCATCCAGCTTCTGCCTGAATCCCTTGAGCGAAAGAGAACCCACCACTTCCCAAGGCAGTATTATGACAAGGCACCCCACCATGGCCAGCCAGCCTTGGTGGTTTGTTGCATCATCTAGAGTCACTGCAGTCTCTGCAAGATGCCTCATTTTTCACATACAAGCCAGCCTGGGAACCCATGGCTTGTTTTCAGTTGCTCTTGCCAATTGTGGATTGCCATGTCATCCAAATCCAGCATGGCAACTTTCTTATGGTTTTTCAGGGAACAGCCCCAGAGCCACTATGGCAAAAGTGGAAAAAAATCCCTGTCACTTTTGCCAAGCTTTCATGGGCCACCCACTTGGTGAGAGCTGCTCACCAAGTGCCTACGTGGGGACTTTGGAATGACTGCCACAGGCTCACTTAGCCCTGTTGTTATTGCAGGCCCTTTTTGTTCACCAATGTCATGGGCAGGTCACCTCCCTTTTTCTTTCTTCTGATCAGGCTCAAAATGAAACCTTGGATGTATAATTCTTTATTGAAAATTGTCTGGTTATGGAACAGTATAAATCAAAGAAGCCTTCTACTAGAGTTTCAGGAGAAGCATCTGTCCATGTAAAGAGTTGACTCCAAAGTGAAACTTCCCCTCTGCCCCTTCCTTTCAGTAAAGCTTCTGGGTGGCTCTTGCTGCTTGAGGGCTAGATGATGGGAACACCGGAGATTTCATCCTCGGGCTGCTAACTTTGCCTGCTGTTGTCCAACCAAGACAAGGAGTTCTTCTTGCATCTGTCCCCACTCCCACCCTGAAAAACCTTCCATGCTTTCCAAGGCAGGCAGATTCTTAGTCTCTGTCTGAGAAACATCACTGGGTAACTGTCAAGGAGTGAACTACAGACAGCCCTTCCAATGTGCTGCTTAGGTACTTTGGAGTGAATGTCAGTGAAAATTCAATTTGGAGATCATAAAAAGCCATCTCCTGGAGGAAAACAGGGGGAAAGTGGGGCGGGGGGTTGCAGTGGGTGTACTAGGGACAAAACTTGCAGCAAGGGGAGTAAACAAGATGGCTTCAGTCACCAAGTCCCTTGGGATGCCTCCTGGAGGACTGGTGGACAACCCACCTGGTGGGTGACCATACTGGACTACACTAACTTGTTTTGTTATAATTACACACCACTTATTAACACACAATGCAACTGCTTACAAAATTAGGCTCACCCATATATGACAAAATGCCAATTTTATTTATAATTTTATTTTAGGTGCTGCTGACTGTTCACCAAAACCCTCCGTAGGACCCTGTAAAGGTAAAGGTACTCTTGTTTTGTGTGGTTTGATGGTGTGACCTGAGGATGCCAGTGCATTTTTTTGGTACTGCACATTTAGAGAAATGATGCAACCACTAATAATGTCTGCATTTCTACAGAACATTTGGCTGCATGGAATCCAGTGCAGTTTAAGTAGTGTGTGTGCGGCAGTGGGGGGGAGGGGTTGCAGGTAATGACTATACCCTAGTGCAAGCAGAGCCCCACAGAAATCACTGGAGCTTAAGCATGGCTGCCTCCGTGCGGGGGTTCTCACCTTCTCAAGGCTGGATTCCATGCCATGAAGATTTTAGGACATTATAAATGTCTCACCCCAGAGAATACTAAAATGTTAGTCATTATGCTTAGAGTTCACTTATTTCAGATTCTTGGGGACAATCTCTTCAAAACACATTATTTTGTTTGGAATTCTGCCACATTGATGCTTGGCCAGGTGGTTCATAGTCTTGAGACCTTGACCTGCTGCAACCAATGGTTGAATTGCTTCAGTGGGATACAGGACCCTTCCCCAACATGCTGCCTTGGCCAAGCGTTGGCATCAGCACCCTGATGTCCTTGAGGACAAGGCAGCCTTGGCAGTTGAAGGCTAATGAGGACTTGGGATGTCTGAAACCCAGAATTCTTAGGAAAATTAACTGCTTTCATTAAAACTAAATTGTGTTGGTGCTGCTCATGGGCAATGGGTATTGAAACAACATTGTTCCGCCGTGTAAATCAGCTGAATCTTTTTGGAAGATTTCATTGCTGGCCACAGAAGGTACAGATGTCCCTTACCACTTGTGGCACACCATTATGTACTTTATGAGACTACCATGATTAGGTGCCTGGAAAGAACAGTCTTCCCCTGTTTCTCTTTGTTGTCACTCTCCTGTTTTCTACTTGTTTTTCCAGTAACAGTTTTCTTTCTTGTGCGTGTTGCCCATTTCTTTCTCCAGAAAACCTTTCCATCTCCACTTTTCAGCCCACTGATGAATTTCCAAGAGAAAACTTCACTTTTAATTGTTCCTTGCCTAGCATAGTGCAAGGTTTCTATATGAGACTGTTCAAGGGAAGAGACAAAGAAGCCATCTGTACTTTGTACAGGGACAATGGGCAAAACGGGACTGAGAACAAGAGTGAGTTTTGTGAACCAATCTATTTGGGTGATAAAGTGTCATTCAGACTCTGGAATTTGAAGAGCCATCACAGTGATACATACACCTGCTGCCTAGAAAGCCTTTCCCCAGTCTTCAATTGCTGCAAAGCAGGTGAAAAGCATCTATATATTCAAGGTAAGTTGAAATGCTTGCTTGCTTGCTTGCTTGCTTGGTTTTCCTAACTGACACATAAGCAAAGGAATTTATGATTTAAAGTACCAGTGAAAAAATCCCTTAAAATTGTTAAGACTTGTACCTGAGAAGCAAATCCCGGGGGTAAGAGGTGCTTCGGGACAGTCCTCGCACCTTGAAGCCTCCCTTCCACAATAAGGGGACTTGAGGAAGTGGGCACTGGGGAGTGTTTGGAGCATCAAAGGATGGGCTGCTTCTACCCGGAGGTCACTGAGGGCCAGGTGAGGTGGTCTGTCCAGCGGCATTGACCAGAGGGCTGAAGGCTCTCCATCCTTGTTGCGTGACACAGTGAAGAAGGAATACCTTCTGCAAAATAAAGCACGCAGGTTCTGGTCCTGATGGGTGTACAGTGACATGACGAGCAAGTGACAGTTGCACGACTATGGCAGGCACCACTTTTACTGGTGTGTGGCTTGTGCCAGGTGGAAGAAGAGCCATGTTTCCCCAGCAACCAGTCTGAACCCTGGGAAAATGCCATTTCTTCATGACAGAGCTCAAGCACCAGCTTTGCATGCGGAAGGTCCCAACTTCAGTGCCGGCCTCTCTGACAGAGCTGAAAATATCCCTGCCTGACAAGCAGTGCCAGTGCTGCGAAGCCAGTGCCAGCAGTCCACCTCAGCAGGGCTGGGCTAGATGGACTGAGGACCTGGCTCAGTGCCAGGCAGCCTCCCATAGCGCTCTGATTAGGAAGTCTGCATTCTCCAAGATGGACGGCTGACTAGCCTCTGCTTCTGTGTCTGGAGAGCCCCGGGGTGGCACTTCCCCACGGCTTCGTTTGCCCATCACTAAGGTGAGGAGTGATGCGGGCTCCCAGAGAGCTGCTTCCTCCAGGTGCTGGGAGCCCAGGAAAGGTGATGCCAGCTCACCGGGGAACTGTCACTGCTAGACTGTGGCCTCCATGGGAGCCAACCAGGCCCAAAGCCAAAGGCGTCTCTCCACCCTTCCACAGAAGTGGTTGTATTACCCTTTCAAAACATTAACGCCTCCAGTTCCTTCTCTCCTGACCTGTCTTTAGTCTTCCATCACCATGTGAGGTTGACAGAGGAAGGAGGCAAAAGGTGCAGCTGGGAAGGGGATGGGAGAACGCAATAGACTTCTTCCTGTACTAATCTCAGGGGCTGATTCCTAAAGGAATGTTGATCATGCATGTGTGAGCCACCATGGAGAGAGCACCATGGATTGCCCCTGCTCAAATGCAGTGCGGCACGCTGAAGTCCGTTCACCAGTTCAAGTCTGCCAATCAAGTACAGAGGAAGAAAATAGTGTATATTCATCTGGGTCCAAGTGTACAGTCTCTGCTACAACCAGCTGAATGCCTGGTTAGATCTTCTTTTCTGTTGATGGCCCATGCTAGTATGTGTTCATAAACCTATTGCTGAGGGCCATTTGAAATGTTCTAAATTGGCTTTTGTGGAGAAATCAAACATACTTTGTGGAACTCAGCTGCTTTGGACTTTTTGAATGAGACACTTTCCTACCCTAAAAACAACTTCTTATCCATTAAATGGAAGTTGTCAAGTGACAAATTTTTAAAAACTTAGATGAGAAGAATTCTATCCTGGCTATGGGCTTTGGTGTCCACTTTCATTTCCACTGCCTTATAATCACTTCCAGGTGGGAAATAAAGTAAATAGGAAAAGTTCATCTGCTGGCTTTGTTTGCGCCTGGCACTCTGGAAGTCAAGACTGGAGTATACCTAATCCCATCAATGACAGAAGAAGCTGTCTTGGAAAGAACACCCCTTCCCCATCCCAAAAGTCTCTTAAATGAACCAGACCTTTCAGCCCTGGGTGCTCACCAGCCTGCCCCCTGCCCCTTCAACCGCACTTCTCTGGCTTCCGCCCTTACCTGTAAGACTCCTTCCATACACACTTGCTCAAAGGAGGGAGCTGTGTTACTGATGCTGAGGAAAACCAGCAAAGAGAAGAGAATACCTCTGGCCAGGCCTCCCTGAACATGCCTGACCTTGGAAGCTAAGCAGAGTTGGGCCTGGTTAGTACCTGGATGAAGAATACTGGGCACTTTCTCTTACCTGCCTGTGCATCAAGGCAACATGTGGAGTGCCCTTTGCTGAGCTGGAAAGGCACAGGCTTGCAGCTGGATGGGTGACCACATGTGGAATCGGAGCAGGGGGATGGATTCGATGGCTTTATAGACCTCTTCCTATTCTACTCTGTTGTATTCTATTCTAAACCCTAGCCAGTTGTTGGACTGCCCCACACAGATATGTCACAATGGAGATCTGAGGATCAGGGCAGTAATTCTAAATCCTGTTTCTTTTGTTTTCTTCATGATTTAAAGAATCCGCTGCTGCAGCAGAGGAACCATGCTTCTTCTCAGCACTTACATCATGGATACTCATTGGGTTCACTGCTTTTTCCACTGGTGCTTGCATCTTCTGGCTAACTCTTTTTTGCTTCAGAAATGAGGTATGTGATTTCCACAGCTACTTTCAAAAGCATCTTTCCTGCTTGCATGAGATAGAATGGCGTCCAGGTCTTCATTTTAGTGAGAGCCAGAAAGTGGCACAGAGACATACTGAGTCAGCATGTGGAATGGAAACTGCTTTGATGAACAAATTTGAGCTGTTTATTCATACTGGAATTCAGTGACAGCAGTTTACTTTTAATTTTTATAGGATGGAGTTGTTTATTGATTTAAAGACCTGGCGCTTTAGGGGGGAGAGAAAGAACTTTGTGTGTATCAGCAAAAATATCTGAGGAAGCAAATTCCCCTGATCACCACTTCCACAGCCGTAGCAAATAACTGGTGGGCCCAAGCCAGCTCTGGAGTAGTATTCAGCAGGCCCAGCAAGATGGTGAGGGTTGCATACATTTTGTTCTGGATTTGTCAAAGTGCCTCAAATCATTTTGGATTGTTCCTGCTTGAAAGCAGGTGATGGGGATCATTCTCCCATTATGTTCTTCTAAGATGGAAATGTGTAATGTTAGCACAGATGTCTTTTGGCAATGCAGTTGGTACACATACTCAGCCAGTTCACACTACACTTTCAGCCCCAGAGGCCTATAAACTATCCCAGGCTTAAAGTCAGCCTTGGAGCCATGCTATTCCCAACAAACAAACAGGAGTCTTGAGGCATTTCCTTCATTTTTCCCTCCCTCAGTCTTCTCAGTGGTGTTCCAGGAACACTGTGTGATGCTGAGTGGAGTGGAGCAGAGGTGACAGCTGCCCAAGCACCCAAATGGCACTTGGGGGCAGCTGTCAGAGAGTCCCTACTACTGATTTCAGTGGCTTTCTATGTTGTATGAACCCAGTCACTAGGATGCTTCTGGTGACATCAACTTCCTGATTTGTGCATGTGAGGCAAAAATGAAAAAGAAGAAAAGAAATATATATGTGTGTGTGCATTGCCATTCTCACGTTACAAAGCTCTTGCTTTCCCCCACGCCAGTTTGAAAGTATATGTTAGAAAGTTAACATGTGATGTGACCCTTGGAAATCAACCACAATTTTAAGAAATTGTGGAAGATCTGAAAGCTGGGTTGCATGTAACATGAAGCCATTGTGGGTGAATGTTATTTTTGTTGCAGCACTGGCCTCCATTTTGAAAATCCAAGCTATAGTCAGGGGTGCATCATGGCCTCTTCTTACGTGTAAGCCCAGTGAGGGTAGGGTGTTAAGGAGGCTACCAAGCTGTCCCTCAAATCTAAAACAGGGCATGTATTCTGGGTGGCCTGTTAGCCACCCCAGCAACCTTCCCTTCTTGGGTCCCAACAAGTCACAGCATGCTCCCCCTGGGACTTGTACTTTCCAAATGCAAAATAACAAGCCCTGCAAGGAAATTGACCTACCGTGGCTTTGGTTCATGCAAACCAGCTATAACTGTGCTCTGAACAAAGTTAGGTTGTTGTGATTTTTAATGTTGCTTTAAAGATTTTACTAAGTTTTTATTTCATGATAGATTTCACATGTGGAATTCTTTGTAAACTGCCTCAGTTGATCCCAGAAAGTCAGCAAGCCAGCACTGAAATATAATAAATGAATGTAAATAAAAGCTAAAAATGTGCATGTGTAAAAATTACTAGACTTCATATCCACGGCATTTTTTTTAATTCTTAGGTTTGCCGGCGAGTCTCCAGCTCTCATGACTACAATAATGAATATATGTCCATGGCAGCAGTGAAATCCACCTAAATGCCCAGCACTCTGCAGTAATACACAGTTCTGTTTAATCAAACTGATATGTGAAATGAGCTTTCTTTGAATAATTTGCCTCAAAAGCTCTGGCTTGTGTAAAATACTAAAAAAGACAGAAAAAAGAAAAAATGCTCCCAGATGTCCCCCTCCCCATCCTGCCTCCTCTGCAGCCAGGAAAAGGATTCCCGCTGAGCTGCATTTCCCTTTCCGTGAAAGGCAGTTTGTTGTTCCATTCAGACCAGAGATGGTGCCTTGGAACACATTCAAGTTAGTTCAAACCAGCAAGACAATTCCGGGGCTGAACCTGAGCCACAGCCTTTCCTTCAGATGCCAGGACCTTTGCATGAGTCCCCACCGCCCCAGCGGCACAGGAGAAGCAGGCAGGTGTGGTAAGCATACCTTTGCCTAGGTTTCTCTCAGCATGTGCACCAAGCGCTAAATCATGGCTTCCCGTTGCATCCAAATCAGGCTACAGCGATGGTGCTGGACGTACAGACCTTGCACACACAGGCATACTAGAAAGTTTGGTAGTCACGAAGAAAGCAACAGGTGGAAGAGGAAGACCTTGCTGGATGCTGCTTTATATTGCACAAGCTGCTTCTCAGAACATAAGCGCTTCAGAAAAGCCACACTGGATGTGACCAATATGGAGACGGTAGTACCCACACTTAAGATAAGCTATGTGTGAAGAGCAAATTTTATTTTTTTCTTTCTGATTGGCAGATCAAGAAATATGGGAAACATATATGAAGGCTTCCTCCGTGGACAAAGTACTGCACTTTCCCTTCATTTTGGAACTGAGAACCAGGTGTTCTGGTATCAGGCAAATGTCTTCTGTGGGTGAGCCTAGCATCAGTGACTGGGTCGTGTGTGCATGCGTGCGTGTGTGACATGCTCACCACAACGATAGAAAGCAGAGGTGGCTTCCTGCAGCCCCTGTGCATCGCCATCGCGATGCACCACAGACAGTGCCCGTTTGCAGCGATGAGAGAAGAGATTTTGGTCCCTTTCCCCTTGAAGAGCCTTTTCAAAGCATTGTGTTCATGAGTGGGGGAAATGCGAGGAGTGGTATCACCAGCCACAGATCTCCTGCATTCACAACATTCTGTTTGTCCATGAGGCTGTGTTCTCACTGCGGTGGCAAACCTTTTTCTGGGCTGTGCACCACTCAAGGCTGCAAGTCACAGTTCACAAAAATCAAACATTTCTTGAAAGTCTGCCCAGAAAACATTTGTTCGCATCAAAAACTAAATGCCAGGAGGGAGGCTAGGCTAGAAGGCTTCTCACTGACATAAGATGGCCAGATGCAGCTGTGGACTGGACTTGCTCTTCTCACAATTGTGTGGAGGAACTTACCCCTGCTAAAATCCCCTCTTCTATGACTATTAGAGGGTCAGCAGCCCAGTCCTCTTTTGTACCTGGACTTTCTTCCTCTTTTGCAGCAAAATGGTAACATTTTTAGCCTCCAATGCTGGCTAAAATTCGCCTCCCTTCTTTGTCCTGCTTTCTCTAACTTCCTGTGCAATAGCACTATCCTAAAGGAGTAGGGAAGGAATATGCTCGCACCTTCTGCACATAAGGGGTAGAACCTGTTGCTGAGCTTTTCAACTCAGTGGATCTGTTTATTTTGAATTGTGCAGAAAATGAGGCATACCACAGTATTTTCCTGTTGTGCTTCACTGTAGCTATTCTTCATATACTAAGCAACCAGAACATGCCAAAATATTGATCAAGCTAAATTGTTTGCAGTTTGCTTTTCCAGAGGGATTTTGGCACAGAAACCACAAATATAAGGTTTTATAGTAAATATCTTTTTTAAAAACAGCAAGAACACAACAACAGATTGAGTGCAGTAGTGAATACAAGTGGGATGAGCATCAATATTCATCATTACGTTGCTATGATTATTGTTGAAATAACTAAAAGTACATCTGACCTCCATTTTGTATCCTTTTCATCAGTACCAAGTGGATCAGTCTGCTTAGTTCTGAATTGACCATCCAATAGAGCTGATTGAAAGAAATGTGGAATGCAATTAAATGAAATACACCGCACATGTTATTTACTTCATACTGATACGCCACAAAACTATGTGTGCACCTTCATATTTACAGGGAAAACATGGGGTTCTCAATCCCATGACAACCTCATGATCAAGCAACTGAAGGGAATGACTGGAAGGTGGAAGGGATGGTTAATCCTTTCCTTGCTTGCCAATGTTCCCCTACAAATGCATTTTCCACAGCAATCCTAGTCATGCTTAGCTGTGAATAAGTTCTGCTGGACTATGTAAAGTCTTACTTATGAGTGGATAGTCAAAGAATTGCACTAATGACTCCCATCTTCCCCCCCTCCCTCCACATGCCCCCACTTGGACTGTCATTGTCCATTTCCCAGGGAAGGGTCTTCTTGTTGGGGGCTGAGGCACATTTTGGTGGCGCCATGCCTAGCTTGTGGAATGTCTTGTCCTGGCAAGGCACGTGGTCCCCTCTGTCGCTGTTAAGTATAGCACCTAGCTAAAACTTATTTATTCCAGCAGGAATTTGACTGGCCAAGTTGAAGTTCTCCTGCAGCAAGCCTCTATTTTGGTTGCTTTTGTCTTCTGTGCCCTTTGACAAATCAGGCACATCTTGCATATTTGTACTGCCTTATTCCTGTTGCCCAGTTAGGAAAGTCAAGAATGAAATGTCTCCAAGAAAATTTTGGATTAAAATAAGGGATTCAAATAGCTAATCAGCAACAGAGTATGGCATATGAGTAGTTATTTTGCTTTCTCTCTGAGGCTTCCCACATAGTAGACAACAGTGACTAATAGTTAGGAACTGATGATTGGTTTGCTGGCACTCTTTACTAATACCAAAAGGAATCCAGACAAGGGGAACACTTGGGGCACTAGGAGATCAATGTCTGTATTCGATTTACAGAGACCTCACCCTTACAGATCAATAAAAAGGTCCCTCGAAACAATTAGGTGAACTAGGAATATGATCGAATAAGGTAAGAGGAGGGAGTTTTTCAGACCATGAATGCAACAGATAGACATTGAGAATAAGGCATTGAGAATATACTCAGGAGAACGGGGAGTGTCAAAGAAACAATTATTGTATCATACACAGGCCTGTACCATGTCATGGAATCCCTGCCCCCTCTGTGTGTCTGTGCGCGGACGTGTGCTCATAATCATCTACTGATATCTTAATACGGGGTGATATTGTTTAGACATAAGTTATTTCAGAATAGAAATACATCCTTAGGAATGCAGGTTTAATCTAAACGTACAGTATTTTCCAAAATGTCCATCGAAGAGGGTCTGGAGATGTAACAGTCGGATCCTCTGCCCTCAGGGTGTTGCCTGTAAACCATCTTGGTAAGCTTAAAAACAATTGTTTTTGTTCTACTTAGAAGCTTTGACTTCAAATAATGTTGAATATATTATGGGTTTGAATCTATGCATGTATAAACTGTGTAATAAGTATTGATATTGGATTTTTTTTACTATAGTAAAGAAGCAAAGAACAAATCTTGTCTGAGAGAATGATTTCTGGAAATGAACTCTGTATGTCCCATATCTTGAGTGAGGAATATAATCTTAGTCTAAGATGGCGTCTTGTTGTAAGCAATTTTAATATCTGGTGTTAAACAGGTAAACCAGGGTTGCCTATGAACTGGTAACATGTTTTAAAAGAACCTCTAAACCAGGGCATATCCCACGGCATAGCAGTACTTTTCAATCTGTTTTAATTGTTTTTAGCTTACGTGGTGTGATTTATTGGCATTTGCTGTTAACTGGGCAGAGAGCACCGAAATGCTGGGACAGGACACTTCCATTCAACAAATAGCTCACCATTTCCTTTTGCAGCATCACTGTCCAGTCAGCTGCTCCAAAAACATGAGGGCAGGAACAGCTTCTTTCTTTCATGGCCCCAGTTCAGTGCAGACGTGGTTCAGGGCCCCTTCCATGCCTTGTGGCCTTGAAAACTGCTGCAGCCATGCTCCCGGTGCTGCAAAATGAGCACGCAGCAATGGCCCTGGTGAATTCCTGGACTGCTGTTGAGGCCTGCCCTCTCCAGAGGGCCATCCCTGGGCACCCCTATGCCCAGTGCTTTTTTTGACATAGAACGCACTTGAACGGATTTCTGGCACCTTTTTTCAACAGATCTTCCAAGTTTTAAAAATTTGAAAATTTGATGTTTGGTCCATGTGGATTTGAATCACCCTGTCGAGCATAGCAGGTCGGCGGCAAAATCATTAAAACGGTGCCTGCGGACTGCTTGTGTGTCGAATCCGATGCATGCGTACTTCGTCCACACTGGTTGTGATGGCGCTGCTCGGCTTGTGTAGTCATGCGCTGAGTGCTTACTGCGGGCGGCAACCGTTATGTTTCGTTACACAACTGATGTGTGTGGGTGTGTGTACAGTGATTGACTACGTGTGAAAGGTAAATAATTTCATGATTTCCAGCACCATTTTTCTTACAAAAAAAGCACTGCCTATGCCCACAGACACCTGCTGCCTGCGCCTCTGGGGTATTTGTGCTTTTGAGACTGGATTTAATGTTAATTACTTTGAAAAATGATATGGGAGGCTGCCATGCTCAAAAGACTCTGCCAGCCTCTAGAACCAACTTGCTTTCTGAGTGAAACAAAGCAGGCCCTGAGCGATTCCTAGAAAATTAGCATGACAAGCCCAGTGTATACTCGAAAGCCTGCCCAGAAAACAAGAAAACTCTAGACCTGCAGGGGTGGTACAAAGTTTCCTTGGGGTTGGAGGGGAAGCAGGGGGTGTGTTGCCAATCTTTTAAATGTGCATGTGTAGCAGCTCTTTTGTTGTGTGCCTTTCCGGGTGTGTGTTGTGCTTGTCTGTTTGTGGGGATTTTTCCTTGAGTTTTTCCTTTTGTTTGTGTGGGCATGTTTTTGGGGAGTGGGGTGGCATGCCTGGGTGTTTTATCCAAGTGTGTATTTCTCTGAGCATCACCGGTTTGCTTCCTGTGAAATGGATATTCTTTGTGTTTTGGAGACAAAGATGTGATTTGGTATTTGGGGCCCAGATTCCAATTCTGTGTTGCTCTCAGCTTTCAGGCCAAGTACACTTTGCCCGTGTGGAATGAATGTTGGAGCAGAAACTGGT